CACACACACCACACACACCGCACAAATACCACACGCAACATATATCTGCACACATCACACACATGTGCACACCACATACATGTCTACTACCAGCTCACACACAACACACCTATATGCACCACACACACACCATCCACACACAACTGCATGTACACACCCCAAACACAAACATCACATACACACAAAAACACACCCCAACAGCACACACATATATATGTCACACACACAAACACCAAACACCACCCTGGCCTAGACACATGATTACAGTTCCTGTGACTCCATTTGCTGTGTCTTCCACTTACACAGAAGTTGTTTCTTCTTTCTACTTCTTTGGCTGAACTTACAAATTGTTCACTTAGGAAAAATTTTAGGTTTGTGGACTGAGGTCCTAGAAATTAGAAAAACATGCTAATTCACTCTCACAAAAGTCTTTTTAGTTTTGTTTTAGAACACAGAGTGCGTGGCGATTGCATCACTTAAGAGACCAACCCAGAAGACAGTGTGGTCCCCAAGAAGGAAAGAGGTGTTCCACAGAGGCTGTGATTCTGCTTCATCTCCACTCCATGGGAGGAGAAATCCTGGGCTAGAAACCACACCTGATCTTGTTTCCTATTTCAGTTCACACCGTGGGTGCCAGTCCCTCTCAGCATCTCAGAGCTATGAGACTTTGGGCAAGCACTGACCCTCTCTGAGCTTACACAGCCTCTGCTGGGAAGTGAGGAACGATCAGGAACTATCACTGACTGCCTCTGATATCCATGCACTGTGGCCACGGAGATCCTTCCACGTTTTCAACCAAGCAGCCACCCACTCACCCATCAGTGCAGCAACTGCAGGTCGAACAGCAAGGAGCAGGAGGTAAGACAGAAGTTCCCATGGGGATGTGTACAGGTGCTGGTAACCACAAAGTAGGGCATGGGATGGATTCTGCAGGGAATGGAAAGTGGTCCTTCCCCAAGGAAGTGAGAGCTATGTTGAAAACTAACAGACAAGCTGGAATTTGCCCGCCTGAGCCCATGGGGATCCCCGCAGAACTGACAGCCTATGCAAAGGCCCACAGGCTAATCTGATGGGTCACGTGGCCAAGCACAAGTGGCAGGAGAAGAGACCGGCCTGGAGAAGTGGGCAGGAGAGCTTACCAGGGCAGCTGGACTGGCCTCGGTGACTCCAGAACCCTCTCCCAGCCCAAGGGGTGGGTTCTATGGTCTGAGAGCCCACTTTCTCTGTCTCTGGACAGCCCTTTCACTAGCTTGCCAAAGTCACCTGTCCACTCCAGGACACAAGGGAGACCCCACCCTCTCCACGTGGGGCCTCCTTCTTCCTCTTTCTTTTCCCCTCAGGACTGTCTGGGCAGTGACTCAAACAGGGAGCTGTCCTCCTGTCACTTGTTCCTAAAACTCCACTAGCTCCGTGTGCAAGCAGCCTCTGATAGCTGCCCCCATGCTCAGCCTCGGTCAGCTCCTGACCTGGTGGAAGAAGTGCTGGAAGGATCTGTGTCCCTGCCTGCGTCCTCCAGAACACTCCCTGAGATCTGACCCTGGACGTCTGTCATCTTGGTCATCTACCCAAAGCAACAATACCCGAGGCCAAGGCAGAAACCAGGGGCCCAGAGTCGTGCCAATTCAATAATCCTCCCCCAGGGTCCTTTAGGTGCTCGGGGGCTAGGGAAGCCCAGTCTGAAAACGGGCAAGTGCCTCATTGTCCACGAAGAGCCTCGAGTCCAGAAGTCCTCCCTGACTTCCCACAATCTCTTAGCAAGTGTTGACAGTTATGTCAAAGAGGCACCAAGTCCCTAACAGGAAGGCTGTGCAGTGTCCCAGACAGAAGGGCCGCTTCTTTGAGGGGACAGACCTCATTACCGTCAGGTCTAAGAGGTGCTTGTGTTTATCTGCCCACCAATTACACCACACTCTCAGGGCTCAAGCTTTTCCAGGCCTTCCCATTGAAGCAAATCTAATTATGACGGCCACCGGGAATTGTTCTAGGGACTGAATCTATTTGTGTCTATGAATCACTTCTGTAAGCTAATTCTCTGTGATGTGATCTGAGGCTGTAACAATTTTAAAAGAAAAGTTGACCTCCCAAACCACTAGATTCTTTCTGGGTTTTTCAATGTTTTGTTACGAAACACCTCTGCTATCACATTTTTTTTTTCACCAACTCTTTACAAAGGCAGTTTTTAAAGAAGCCATTTCAATCACTAACCCTCCGCCCAAAGAACTCCTCATAATTCTGTCCTCTTAATCCTTTTACTCATAGACTGTGCCCTGGGTTTCCGAAAGGAAGCAGCCTTAATGTGGACATTCCGTAGAGTCTTTTTTCTTAAATAAACAAGGCACCTTTATGACTTTGCTAAACACCCCAGAGCAAAACCTGAGTTCACATGATCAAGTCCATCTGGAAACTGGGGTTGGGGGGGGGGGCTGAGACATTGAGGGCAACATTTTCTCACCTGCTGCGTTCAGTAATTATTCTGACATTTCCCACATTCCAATTTATAGAAGAAAACAGGTGTTTCCCTTACCCCGCCGAGCAGAGCAAACTGTACGCCCCAAGTTCATCAGAGTCACCGATGGCTGAAAACTTTAAGCCCTTATTTTCCCACAAGTCACCTATTTCCTCTCAAATCATCTAGCATGGAGGGTCTCCTCCCAGCTTATGGAAGAGGTGGGAGAAAACTTTTAGTTCCACAGCTGGGCCCCAACCCTGCACAATTAAAGACTCTCCCAGGATGACACCCCAGCAGCGGCTCTGCAGGATCCCCAGGTGACGCTGAGCCGCAGGGACCAGGAACGCCGGCGGGTTACTCATTAGTACACGGAAACCCACGGGGAACTGTCTGTGGAAGTGAAGAACTCACTGTAATTAAATAAAATAGCAGATGGAAAAGTACCTAGCAGTGCTGCTACCCAGAAGACACTTAATACATGTTAATTAAACAAAAAATATATAATTCAAATAATTACTCCTCTCCTCAGTGAATTCGTCTTATAATTTTATTGGCTTGTTTATCACTTTTTGTTTTTTCCCTGCCATGACTCATTCTCTGACTGTT